TATGCTGTAATTGAGTGAAATGCTGCAGTGCAAAAGAAGGCGCAAAAGAAAATGAGCGCACCGCACAGCTTTGTATTCAAGCTGTTTGGCGTCAACTTGACCCACTGTGTTGGGAGGAAATGGAAACATTAGGTTTGGGGCTGTTGTGTTTGATAAGGAAACAGGGCGTCTTCACTGCATTGGGGAGACCAATGGACAGGGCCATGTACTGGAAAATCTTGGACGAGAACCTCCTTCACTCAGCCAGAAGACTGAAAATCGGTTGTGGATAGATTTGCCATCATCACAATCACACAAAACATACCACCAAATTTATAAAGGAGTGGCTAAAGAAGAAGTAAATTAAGGTCATGGAGTTGCCTAGCAAGTCTCCAGACCTCAGTTGCCAAGTGGAAGCCAAGAAACTTGAATGATTTAGAGAGTTTCTGTAAAGGGGAGTGAGCCAAATTCTCTCCCAAGATGTATGCAACCCTGGTGACCAACTACAAGAAAAGGCTTACCAACAGGAGTTTCTCCACTAGGTAATAAATCATATTTTGTTTCAGAATCAAATATTTATTTGTAAATGAATTTTTAAGTTTTATGAAATACATTTTTCTGGATTTGTGGTTGACATTCTTTCTCTCGCCAATAAAATGAAAGAACCATAAACTTTAGAAACTGTTCATTTCTTTGTTAGAAGCATACTCACAAATTAAGCACAGGGTCAAAAGATATTTCTCCCACTGTCTCAAATATCCCAAATATAAACTTCAAGGCTTGCTTTTCATTTACTGAAGTCAGTCAAAGCAACAGTGAAACATTCAGCATGACAAAATGGATCAATACAGGAACAAGTAAGCATGTCACAATGATTCTCCTCTGACAGGAGGATTTGGTTTGTATCTGAACACAAGCAGATCTAATTTATTTCCTGCTTTTCTTCTGGGTCACACAGGTCTGTGCAAACACTGCACTTTCCTCTTCCAGACACTGTGACAAAAAGTAGCTTTCAGTTTGCACCAACAGCAAAGCTCGAGAGCTGTATCAGGTTTGAGGAAAAAGCTGATGTCTGCAGCTACAGCGAAATCTTTTTTTCTTTCCTCTTTTTTTTTTTTTGGTGAAATAAAGTGACTAAAAGCATCTGTACATTCATCATCTGTGACAAAGTCACTCAAGTGGCAACAGTGATGACAAGGTTAAAGCCCGCGGCTAACCCATGGTGCAACCACAGAGGTGTTTTTGCCTAATTTTGCTGATTAGACTTTGGAAAAACTGTGTGTGGGTGTGTGAAGACTGTTGAACTGACACCCCAGCAGAAAAGTTGATAATGGATGGGTGGAACAGCTTACACATGTATGTTACACATGAGATGGTTTAACCACCCAGAATAACTAAAGACACATGCATGTTTTAGAAAACTGAAGCGAGCTAACACTAGCATTTAGCTTTGAGTACATCTGGGCCTGGTTTAGGCTATAGCCGAGACAATACTGGATATGGTTCTATCACAGTAGTTTCATAAACATAGTATTTAGTCTCTCCCAAGCAGGTTTGTCATGGCCACAATTTGCTGCAGGATTTCATCCATCAGCAGCAGTGCATAGCTGGTGGCATGGTGTGTTGGTCCCAGGTTTAACCTCTTCCTGCTGGCATGTAGCAGAGTGTTGTAGTTTTTGTGGAGGACCAAAATATGGAGATGGAGAAGTCCATCCTGTCACTGCTTCAACTCCTCTCCACTTTCACCTTCAGATGAGTCAGAGTTGGATTCTAGATGATCTGTTTCTACCACTGAGGCCTCCTCCATGTCAGCTTCAGTCCTCAGAGGAGGATGAGGCATCACCTTCACAAATATTTTGCACAAGCATTTCCAGAGCCTCCTGTGTGCTGCAAAGTCTTGCAATCTCCAAACTGACAGCTCTTGCACTACTGACCATACTTTAAGCATGGGTGCAGTGCAAAACACTGTCAAATTTTGTTTTGGTTCTTGCTGCTAAGAGATCTTTAAAGCTCTGACAGGTTACTGATCATTTACTGCTACTGAATTATTTTATAAACCCGAGCGTCACCTTCTAAGAGAAAAAACTTGAAGGTGAACATCTATCTCTCTCTCTCTCACACTCACACACACTAATAGGAGCACACACACACACACACATTTTAGTAGCAAGGCACTCTTGCAGAAAATAGAAAAAGTGTGAAATGTGCATGCTTTGAACGGTATAAGGTGGAAAAATTAAAAATTGAAGGCAAGTAGTCCAAAATAAAATCTGAACATAAAGGAACGCATTAGTTAATGTCAAGATAAATGTGGGATCATGATTGATCATTTTCAATGGGGCATTTTTGGGCTTTAGGATAAAATTTGGCCGTTTTTGCATAGCTTAGCTATTTTAAGCTAATTTAAGGAACTGAGGCAACAATTCTAAAATGAAAAAAAAAAAAAACAACAAAAACAAATCACCTGGAAAAAATTATCTATATTTATTCAGCACAACCAAAACAGCATGAAAATAAAAAAAGAAAATGGAGTGGCACAAAATGTCCCCAGGCTCATCTAAGGTGTAACGGAACTAACCGTGCTTATCTACTGGGTTATATTCCTTGTCCCTTCTTTATTAATTAAATAAATCAATATTTATTTACATTTAAGAAGAGAGCAAAGAGTAGTTTGTGTGAAATAAGTCAGAGATAGACAAAGCTCATGAAAATACATAAAAAGGAGACTGATTGTTAAAGCACTTAATACAACATTAAAAGGGGAAAAGTTAATAAAAAAGGAAGTGATGTGGTTGTGAAGCAGGATTAAAAATCAATAAATTGCTGATTGATTGACATCTTTTGCTGTATTAAATATTAGCCTATAGCTGGCAACCCGTAGTGTTGGCATCAAATAGCAAACTTTGATGACTGTTTAGGCAGCAAAAGATCGATAATTTGCTTTTCTGCAATCTCATATATGCCAATGCGTTCAAGCAATTGGCTGAATCAGTGTATAAAGAAATTGATAGATTATGTGTTAATCATATCATGTTATCAAAAATGAGAGATTTGGATGGATTTATTGATTGGCACGTGCTGACTGCATTCCTTTTACAATCAAGACTGGAGAGCAGCAGACTGCTGAAACACCAAAGGAGGAGGAAATATGGCGAAGAGGTGAGCCTCCAAAAGACTAAATAGAGGTAACACATTTTTTTTAAAGGGGCCATTATGGCACAATGGAAGCAGAAGCTCTGAGACCAGGGCTGTGAAAGTTTACAAACCACATAAAATCTCTTGCATGAATGCTTTGTGAGCATCACAATTTAAAAAATTTTTTCCTCAAGGTTTTGCTAATGCTGCTTAAAAAGAACAGTAACAAAGATGAAGAACTAAAATTCCTTATTTCAGTGTCAATCTGTGAAAAGACAGCCTAACACACCTGACTAAAGCAGTAACAGCAGTAATAGTATGTCATACTGGCATTAGAAAAAAACTACAGTAATTAACCAAACGATGGATTTTATGATGAAGCATTGCAGGCCTTACCTTTGTCCTCACTTCCTTCTCTTATTTTACAGACTTAATGCCACACAGAAATGATCCTGTTTTTTGTTTGGCTCAGCAGTTCTTCCTTTTTAAACTAAGCAACTCTCATCCCTCAGCTTATCAGACCATCAGTCCTCTCTCTATCTTCTTCAGAAGCCCCTCCCTCATTCTTCACATACACTCCAAGTGTGTTAAAAGTGACCATCTCTCGCCTCTCTTAACAATTTGTATGCTTTCCTCCTCTTCCTACATCCAAACTGATCTCATCCCTCTGATTTGACAGCATTTAAGCCTCTCATGCTGCAGGCTCCTCAGCCTTTGGGAGATGAGGTTTTATTTATTTATTTCATTTTCATTTTCCTGTGCTGATTTCTTGTGATATTTGTATGTTGTCCTTGCACTTTTTCTTTCTTTTCTTCTTTTATATTGAGGATTGGAGGAAACATAAAAGATAACGAACAAGGCTATGCTTTAAGCAGAATTATGCTGCGCATAATACATGCAGAAATGTAAGGAGAGAATTTAAACTATAGGAAGTGTTACATTTATTTATGCAATATATGCAAGTTTTGGAATAAATGTCAGATTAAATTTTAAAGCCAACATGTTAAAATAAAATATAACCCTTATACTGCACCACAGAGGGGGGAAAAGTGCTAAATACTGCACTAAATGCTAAAATACTATTATATACTGATTAGATATGTTTGTACATTAAAATCATCAAAGTGGAAAGTTACATATATTCATATGTTGCTGCTTGAAAAGATAACAGTTAGTAAATAACTGTTAAGTAAGTAACTGCTAAATAATAAGTTATGGAAACAGATTTGACAGATAAATGATGTGGTGATGCTTTAAGATTAAAGATAAAGATGCTGTTCTGCATTTGTTTTGGTACCAGCAGGAGAATTAGACCTATTATGCTCAATTCCCGAGCGCACCGCACAGCTTTGTATGAGCACAGCTCAAAACCAGACTCGGTGTCTGAAACAAGCTGTCTCCCTTTAAGGTAGCTTTTATCTGATTGGCTGTCTCCTGCAAACCAGCAGGTGACTGGAACTTATGTACTCGCAGCACTGCCATGCCCCGAGATGACCATATTAGGAATATCCACTCTCTATTATGCCCGACAGATCCATTAGGAGAAAAAAAACAAACTCTCAGAGATAAATATTAATATCATTCAAAATTCATAATGAATTTTGGCCATGTTGTATAAGCTGTTCCAGTGAAATTATCTTATAAATGGTGAGTACCAAAAACAGATAAACATATTTGTGTTAGGATGGACCTAAAATATCTTTATCTGCACACAGACAGGTAAACTGTTCTGAATTAGTTCAAGTGTCAGTCGCTGACATCCAAAAGTTTGAATCAGCTGCTGCTGCTGAGACACTCTCACCTTTCAACCTGTGCACTGTGTATTCCTCATAAACCCACATGTACATATAATTTCATGTAGATTAATGGAGAAAGGTCTGACTTACCATATTTATTGAAGAAACTGGCCCGATACTGTTCACGTATATATCAACGTCAATGACAGTTGGTTTAACTGCAGGGGAAACAGAAGAAAAAGGGTAAAGAAAATCAATGCTGATTGAGACATTTAAAAACCATACCTGCCTCTTTGTAAATCAAAGAGAAGCAGAGCGAAGATGCATTAATGAAAATTTACTGTTCAGAATTATTTAAAGAATGAGCAGCTGCTGAGAGAAGCAACCCTCTGGAAGTTCTGGTTGTTAAAAATCTTTAATGCAGCAATTATGCTGCGTTTTCACCAACGGGCCACAGACTGCACCACAGTGCAGCGCAGAATTACACTTTAATTTCAGACAAAGACATCACTAATGACAACTCCATGTAGAATATCAGAGGAAAATCAGAAGTAGTCCGCTGGGTCTTGGTCCCACTTTTCCCTGCAGATTTTCACCCTCGCCAGCTAATCGTGAGCTGAATTACACCCGAGACACCAGATAAATGCAATTAAGTGATAAACCATTGGAGCCTCCATCTCTGACTGGACCAGTGGATGTGGACTGATGTTTCTATATCATCTGAAGGTAGTAAATGACAAAACAAATTAAAAATGCCAAAATCTGACATGAGGTCATCAGCAGCGGAAATCAGCACAGGTAGCAAGAAGCTAACAGAGCAAAACGGTTAGTTTGTAAGCTACTAATCTAATCACAGCATAATATGATTATTTAACCACAGACTTGAGGAGACACGTCACACAGTTTTACCTTCACAATATTCCTGAACACAGTTTGTTGCTGTTTATATACCAGTGACCTACTTGGATTGACTCGACACAGTTCACCACAGTTTTCAGGTTTTTCCATTAGGTACCTGGTACCTGGTGCCAGGTACTTTTTTAGTTCCAAGCGATCCAAACAGGTACTAAAATGTGGCGTTGTCAGACTGCATGCCACCGATTGGCTGGTCAGTAGTATCTCTTAATGAGTCATGAGAGTGTCTCCTTCATGAAAATCAAAACCGCCATTTTTGAAACCCGGCAATGGGAAAAATGGCTTCAAAAAATAGTAGGTACTAATGGAAAATAGGCTTAAAAGACTTGTGTTTGTGTGACTGTGGTGACCTTAATTCACAGGTAACATAAAATGTTTCTCAACTTAAGGAAATCATTAATATAATATTATATAATATGATTAATATTACACATGATGAGGGTTATCTATGTAACCACAGCATGTCAGTGACTGTGGCCTGCAAAGAGTATACACTATATGTAAACAAAGCTTAAAACATCCGCCCACTGTGCAAAGAGATGTTGGATTAAGGAAAGAAATTATTTCAATGTCAAACTTAGGCTCATTTTAGATGGCACTTTTATACTGCTTCTAGGGGCTCTGTAGTCCCATGTTTCCAGAGGGTGGAGGACCTGTTCCCCACCCCCTGGAAACATGGGAAACAGTTATGTGTAAAGGAATGCAGAGTGATGGTCCATAATCAGTGGATGGTTGGTGCGGGCTCTTGATGCTAAAACAAAAGTGAGCAGCTGCACGGTGAATTTGGAGCAGAAATGTCCCCAGCTTCTCACAGGAAGTTTGCACAATGGCTATATCGACAAAGACTATCTAGCAGATTATGCAAGTGTTTGTGTATGAACTGGACTAACTCTCATACTTTTTGTCACAACTTCTCTCAGTCTAGCTACTGATCACAACCACAATCTTCATTCATTCTTCACAATAAAACAGGATAACTGTAAAAAATGAACCGTATATAATGCAAATGTTCTTTTAAACTTATTTCAACACATTTTAATAAATTACAGTTTGACCTGGTTAAAAACAAATAAGTTGATTAATTTAAATGAATAAACCACAAAAAACTACCCAGTCCAAAGTTCAAATGTTGAACATCATATTGACCTCCAAGTTGGGTCATGCTTGGACGTCCAATTTGTGGACCTAGTTTGGACATTGTATAGATGTCCAGAATTGGTCATGGACTGATGAACCCAATGCACGTCTATCCCACGTCCAGTGTTCAGTGGGTGGTGTTTGTATTTGCGTCTTGTTTTCCAAAATTTACATTCAGTCTAATATTTGATTGATCTATGGATCCACCAAGCCACCTAGAAGGGCTCGTATTAAGTGATATGTATACAGCAACTGATAACTTACTAAATACATGCTAGGCTTTCAAATAAGAGGAGATTGGCTGCATCTGTACAATCTGGTAATTATGGCTGTAACACACTGAGCCAACAATTTTCACACCAGGAAGTTGCCTCAGTCTTCATTTTTTTGCAACCACCATCAATACACATCGATACACACATTCCAAACACAACAACTTAAAGGACTTCCTTTCTTCTTTTCTTTAATTAATTTACACCAGCCTGCCTTATTCATGGCGGGACACCCCTGGCTTTCCCCGCCTCTGCTGCTCTCGGTCATTTCATGGACAGGTGTAAAAGTGTCATTTAAACCTCAAGCTTTAACAGCTAAGTGACAGCTGTGACACACTGCTGCCACGAGTGTTCACATTTGCATAGCAAAGAGCTCTTCCATCATTTTACATTACCTGTCTTTAGAGTCTTCATGTCTCAGCCAATTAAATGCACAGCGAGAATTTTTTACACCTGCCAGTCTCCCTTCCAGCATTCGCTTCACATGCTAACAGATGGCACATGAGAGAACATTTCTGGAGAGCTCCCGCTGAGGCAGCTTTTCAAGACCACTATATTCATAATGGCACAACACCTGGTGAGCAAACTAAATTGATCTGAGGTAAAATGTAAAAATATCTGGAATATTTGTCCAAAACCTCTCATCATAACTTTTTTTAACACCACCACCACCACATAGGCCAGGCTGCAAGTACTTACACTCCTACAGGTGAAGTGTGTGGAAGCTGTCAGATGATTATGTCAGTGACTGCAACAGGATATGTGCTGGCAGCAGAGCGACCGCCCAGGCAACAAAATAATTGGACACAATTAACCCTGATAGTTGGGCAGCAACACACTCGTGCTGCTCGTTTCCTCACCTGTGCTAATCGCTCCTGAACAGCACGCATACATGAGAAACACCGGTCAATTTTCTTTTTCAAAACAAAAAACTCATGAGGTCAGTCTTCAAATAAGGAAGAGTCACACTCTCAGTATTTTATAAAAGTCAACAGAGATGGAGACAAGGGTCAAACAAGCAGAAAAACAATGACTTAAAGTGACCCCAAAATTTCCTCTTCTTTTGATTGCACACGTGAGTCATAGTACATCTATCATTATATAAAGGTATACTGCTGTGTAACTGTGCTTTTCTTATGCTTAAATGGATCAGCATGAATCACTGACCTAAAAAGTTCAACAGGAAGTACTGTGATGTCATACTGTGCAATGAAAAGTATGTGGAGGTCGAGGTTTTCAAAGGGCAAGTGAGCATTTTGATTACAAATTAAACCCTCAAATGTCTCGAGCCATTTAGCAACTAAAATGATTGTTATATTTTATAAAAGAATATTGGTTCTCTGTTTGTGCTTCTAATATTTGTAATGTATGAAAGATTCAATACTGTGCTTACTGTCTGCCCACCTTTACTCTTCACACAGCCTGAGCTGTCTGAACCATAAATTCCACATTTGGATTCTTCACTTCATCAAACCTGTTGTCACTGATTTCAGTCCAGTTCTTGTGTAACTTGGCATACCACAGCCTTTTTTCGCTGTTTCCCTAAGAATGACTCGTTGACAGCCGATATGTCTTCAGATCAACTGAAGGTCCAAATGCTTCTCTCAGCTCCTGTGTCAGGTCTCTGCTGTTATCTTTCCTATTTCTTAAGGACATGACTTTCAGATACTGTTCATCTGCTTTAGATAATTTTTTAGGCCTGCTACTTCTGCTTTTGTCCTCTACTTGTCCAGTTTCTTTATTTATTTTTAAAGGACACGCTGCACACCATGCTGAGACAGGCCAAGTTTTGAGCTAATAGCTCTTTGAGAATCACCTTGTTAGTCCAAAAAAATCTGTTTTATGCCTGTCGAGCTGCATTATCTTTGGCATTTTTCAATGATTCAGCTAAAGAAATTAGAAAACTATTTTTTGTGACATACTGCTTGTAACAAAGTCCCTAAAGGTACATTTTTAGAATTGGTTCATACTTGTTTGTTATGTTATGTGGGATTAACAGTGTTTCATTCCTTTTAGGCGCCTTTTTTATGCTTGAATGATTCATAGATCAGTGTAAAATGGTTTAACAAAAATAAAAAAAATAAAAGAAGAAAACATAAAAATCGAGACAATCAGCTACATAATAAAAAGGACACATAGTTTTTGTAGCTCAATGCAAGTTCGTTTTAAAAAAGAATCACAGCTGACCTTAAAATTTCCGATCTGTACGTTCTTTGTTTAAATTCAATCAAGGAGCGGCGGTAAGGAGGCAGTCATTGCAGCAGAGCTTTGTCACTGACAGACATGCAATACATACTCTCTTCGATTTGCTGGGGTTCACCATCCTAGCGAATTGAGATCTCTTTCTATAAAAAATATCCTATTTTCAGCTTTAATTGTCTTTTAATATGTTTTTAAAAGTGTATCATCCAGAAGAAACTGAACATCGACTACAGGCTGGATAATTGTAGGTGACCTTGTAAATGTCATACTTAGACTTATTTTAAAACTTTGATAAAACTATGTGTGATCAGAGAAAAGCATAAGTCTGTGTGGTTGCAGACCAGTTGCATGTCTTTGGAATAACCATTTCAAAGGCAATGCACACCATCACAATTTTGGTCGTGCCACTATTTTCCCTTGTGTGACTACAAAAACGAGCCAAAACGAGATGCCTAATTATGGAATAATTACCACCAAATTACAACCAAATCAAAGATTCTAATGTTTTAAAAAAAACATACATATTTTCAGGCAATTTTCCATAATCCTGGAAACCATTAGCCAGACTAACAGGCCAATTCCTGCATGAAAAGAAATATATTCACAAATTCATGGCAGGAAATAGTTATGAAATTTAAAATATTCTAATGGCAAATAAAATGGCAGGTCATAAATGGGCCTCCCATGTTTAG